TTAGTCTTTTGGACGAACATTAGTTCGGGGAACAATTAGTCTTGCTTCAATTTGAACAGTGAGAACGGTAGAAATAGCCTGTATTAGTTTAGTTTGTCCTGTAGGATATTTTTCAAGTGGCCTACCAACGTATGAAAAGACTTTGGTTTATTTTAGGCTTTGAGAAATTCACACTTAATATCTGTTAGTCTCGACATGTCGTATATTGATGAATTTCCTGACCTCATTAAATTTGAATCCTTTCCTTGCCTTTGGCACTTTTGCAAATGCCTTTGTTCCAGCGTTTTTGTCTTCAGGATGCATGTTTGTAAATTTATACTACTCTAAACTCAACTTTCATACAAATTTAGGGAAAACTGTTGACTTATACATTGTCTGGTTGCTTTCTGACCAAGGCACCTTTTTTTCTTTTTGTATGATCTTTTCAAAGAAAAGTGTATTTTTGAGTTACAAACAACCTTCTTTCAGTCGAGACAGTCCACCCAGCTGAAAACACCTTCCTATTCATAACAAATATGCTTAATGCAGCAAGGAAAATTATAATTGTCTGACTTCTTCACCTTAAATAAGAGTAAGTATTTGTTGTTAAAGAGTTGTAACACAGTCACAGGAGCGGGTTGCAAAGGGTCCATACGTGACGCGGCTTGATTAAACCCAAAACTACTCCGAGACGTGTGAATTTTACAGAAAGGCAAGGTATGGTGAGGTTTGAAGTTTTCCCCATTAAATTTATTACGCATAAGATTCTGTTTAAAATCCATGTGACGTGAGAGTAGTAAAGAGCGCAACGCTTTAAAATCGTTGGTGTGCTGTTAGAGAGAAATAATCCCCAATTATGAAGACAACTGAAGTCTGTTTGGTTACAGATATCTGGACGTGGAGGACACACCCTTCACCGGAGTTTCCTAACCCATAACTCTTATTTCCCAACCCTCTTTCATTTAAAAATGAATATGCGAATAGAATTGATCTAAAGATCACCCTTCGTGAGGAAGAATGGTCACGCGCGTATCAGGCTCAATGCAAACCATTTGATGTAAAAAATGGAACTTTAACGTGATTCTCGATTATTTAAGCTTCCAGCGAAATGATTTCACCATCAGCTACAAAAAATGATAGATTAATCTACAGCGTAAACAACCACGGAAAGGAATTAATTATTCAATAAATCATGAGGAATTTTTGTATGGAATAAGCTAGGCTACAAGTTATTTACAAGAAGTATGTTAAGATTAGATTGTTATCTGACATGTTGACGTGCACGTCGACCCCTTTAATGTTTAGATTGGTCTTTATCTCCAAAAACCACAATTTGGATCGGTGTCCTGCTGGATATTTTTAACAAATGAGATTAACGTTAAGACGATTAAAATGCTAAATGAGTAGATAAAATACAAACTAAAACAAAACTGAAAGACGATATACTTAGGAGAGTGATATGCCGAATGCACACATTTAATTTTGCCTCGGAAATAATGTTTGACGCCAACTGGTAGAGCAGACCAGATAAGAGATGAACACCGTGCTTTGCTTGTGAAAAAAAATTTTGTCAGTATTTATGATTAAATGTACATACCACAATCCAGATCATGACTGGTAGAGTCTTAAGTAAAGCAGCAATAACTACAATTTTCATTTTTAATCGAATCGTTCAGAACAACCAGAAATTGCGATTGCAAATACGTGATATCATAGTTACATTCAGTTTATTTGCTGATTGGCCTGTATAAGACCAAAATGTTCCATCAGAGGTAAAGTAAACTAGTTAAAAATTTCAGGCGCTCAGGACGTGTATAGTTCACAGCTATCAAGTTTTTCGGTCACATTTATTTAAATCGTTGTTGCTGGAAACATTTTTTAAAGATTTTTACGTTGATGTATCGAATGTACAGAATTGTAGAGAGCGTTACTGTTTATTTTCTGCAATGTGGCGTCAAGAGTTATTCCACATTCAGTTATTAATTTAAATCTCGTATAACCGCATACTTGGCTGGTGGAATTTAAGACAGTTTTAGAACAAAATTTATATAAAAGTGAATGTAATACTAAGATATCAACCATAGAAAAAGTTATGGAAAGGTGAATTGGTGTCTCCAGAGACATTTGAGACTGAAGCCAGAAAATATGGCTAAGTACCTTTCAGAAACATTTTGAAATATAATACAAAGCAGATGGTAACACAGTTGTTGGAGGTCAGTTAATTGAGGTCACCATTAATTTAATAATTTAAAGGTGATGGGACCAAGATGCGTATGAAATAATCCAATTCGCCACGTGCTGTGGTTATTATTTGTGTTTCTGACCACCGTCTAGAAAAGATAACTTGGTGGTCGAGAAGATTCTCCAAAAATTGCAGACGTTTCAGCCCTTATCGATCTGCGAGGCTCTTGCATCAAAAACTGACACTTTAAAAGGAATGATGATGAATGCGTTACTGCGATTCTTCGAGTCCCTACGTTTCCTACAGACATAATTTTCTCGTTTATCAAAGCCATTTAAGCTGTCAAATCCTGAGTTTCCCCATTAAGCCATCGACTTAAAATCAAAAATCTGCTAAACGGTTACACCCACAGCTATTTAAGAATTTAAAGGGCGAAACAGGAAATTCCTTTTCATGTTACTGAGCGCAAAAAAACGAATGCCTAGCCTTCAGTCGGTAGTTTTCCTGCGAATTCACCCCATTGTAATAACGGATTCCTTTGCGGGAATCGCCCGGCGTTTGTTGATTCAACCAAATTAAGGTAAACAGCGGTCTATTTTGGTTTTAAATAGATTTTGTCATGTACCTAGTGTTAATTTTGTTTATAGATAAACTTTCTCTAGTGTAAGCTTATCTCTGTCGAAATCTTTCAAGACTGTTGGAAGACTTTATGGGAGAGTCGCTTCCTTCACTCAAAGGCGAAATTTGAAATAATCAGGGTGTGGAAAACAAAGTAAGGACGATGAGTAAAATATCTCGCCATGCAGCTCAAATTTATTTTCTTCTTTCACAGAAGACCAATCAATGCATTTATATGGGTCGTGTCGAAAATCTCATGTGCAAAACTACTTTACTTTACGTTATGAATGATAAGACGCCTGCATCAAATTCCATTGCGGAGGCGTCAATTTGAACAGCGCATCTGTTGTGTTACAGGGGCATAAAAGTTCAGGCAGAATCTCGCAGTTTTCGACACTCAGCACACCTCAGTCGAAGGATGATGGCTGCCGCATTCTTTATTGGTCTGATGCTCGCTTTGTTACAATCGATCGTATGTGCCTTTGTACCTCCTTCTTTTCTTCATAACAATGGCCAAGGTACGTTTATCATTTTGATAGTGCATTTCCGTCAAACGCAGGTTTTGAAAAATCTCAAGTCCCTGCTATGCGCAAATGCTTATTCGTGTTCGTTTGACGGTCTTTTCCATTCCTGTCCTCTTGCCGCTCTGAATAACAGCTGGTAAGTAATTAGTGTCGATAAAGCTCAAGAACCTCTTCCAATGTAGCAATTTTTCCCCATTTTGTGCAGCGTAAAGTTCCACTCTCTTTTGAACATCATAATTTCACTCGTCAATCTAATAACAACTGCGTAGGTATGTTTTACTCTGTTGTTAAATCCCAAAGGCTAATACGGATTAGTTTGAAATCGCGAAAAAAGATTTTCATGTGTATCTCCCAGCAATAAATTGTATCATTTCTTAAATAACCTCTTAGGGAAGGAAATTTCAGTCAAAACTACTTTAAAAGATGAGTTAACACTCTTGTCGAAATTGTTATGCAGTAAACAGACAGAGAGTGAATCAAGGAACTTTCTAAAGGCATTCGAGATTGAAACAAATTTCATGACGTAGGAGGTCGGTAATTGACTCAGAAGTTGGCTTTCCTTCTTTAGTTGCATACAAGTGGTTCAATTATTATTAAATGATCTTCACTTTTGGCAAAAGACGGGTTAAATTCACAAAAATTACATATCGACACGATCCCTCGCCATCACGCATAAAACTGTGATAATGATAGTCTGACTTGATGAAATAATAGATGACACAGCCTCTTTAAAAAATGTACATGATAATAAGGGTGTGGTTGGGAAAATATGCCACTTGGGTGTGTTGTCATAATTCAAAATCTCTGGTAAGACTTTTATCAGTCTCGTCTTTGGTTTCGTTTAATTCTTAAGGACCGTATTTTTATCCGTTTATCCGATTTTAATTTCGTGTCAAATTCCCCAAGAAGCGTGACTCTTTACTGGTAATGTCATTCATTGAAATGACAAAGTAACGTCTGATTCCCTCACCCTTCCCATGGTTCAGCTGAGTACAAAATTTAACACACACAAAACGACTGAAAGTAGACGTCAGCTCATTATTTGTCGTCTCCCGTTCTTCATAGAGGTGATGCTTGACCCGGACTCTAGTATCATGAAGCAATTTGACATAGGACAGTGTAGGAGTACATCTAGTAAACTTACGAACTGATTGACTTGTATAAATATACATATGAATACGCCTGCCGGAAACCGGGAAATGTCCGAGTTTTTGTGGCGGTAGACATCTGAAGAATCGCTACTCATTCTCAATGGGATGATATGGGATTATTCGATAGCAGTCCAGCACAGGTTATTCATCAGAGTTTAGTCAAGTCTTCCTGTAAGTTTTCTGTAGTAAATTTACTTTATACTCCCGCATGCAGAGAAGCAGTGTTCTTTGCCTGAGAACACAAAATCGTACCGCCTTAAAACCTCCAACCCAACCTTTCATTCAGCGTGCCGCCTGGTAATTAAAAAAGCGACCTTGCCTTCCAATCAAAACAGTTAACTGATTTCTAGGACAGCTTTTCGAGAATCAAAATTTATACTTTGTGTAACGTTCATGACATCTCTCTTGATAGAAAAGCCGTGCTTCCACGGAGACTCCATATACGACCCGTGGGAACGCTTTGCTGATGAATCCTGCACTGGATGGTGCAGCTGTAACGGCCGAACTGGAAATGTGGGATGTGTTTCCTTGTGTCCCCCCCGTGGCCCTCCCACGTGTTCTTTAGGGGAACTCCCCGAAGAGACAGAGGAGCCATCTGTGGATCCAACGGGAAGGTGCAAGTGCAAACGGAAGTCTTGCTCTCCGAGACTTAACCTCCCACCTCCCCTGCCTCCAGTAAAAATACCTGAAGAACATGGTGAGCTCCTTGGTACTGCGGAACAATAATATTGACCTTGATGTTCTTCGTTTTCTTCGTTCGTTCCCCTCTAGGCAATGACCCATAGAGGAGTCTGCAAGAAAATAATAGCTTTTCATCTTCATTTCCATTTAAAATCCTGAAGAGGAAAAGGATAAAACTAATTTGAGAAGAAGCTAGAACATTGATTGAAATTCGCGTGAATTTGTCCAAAAATTGACAAAAAGGGTCAGACAGAGAAACTTCACTTTTATTACCCAACTTCACTAAGAAGAGAACAAATATCGCGCGAAAAGAATATAAATATCGTACGATTTTGTACAGTTGGTTATTTTGTACGGTAAAAAAAACATCTTTGAGCAGTCGGTTGCATGTGTTACGCTTCTCTTTTCACTTCACTTTTTCCGCCTTATAAGAATTACATATAAAATAAAGCAGTTTGATGATAAATAGGTTATTAGGTTTATGGTGTGTAGTATTTCCAAGTATATTTACTCGTTGTTTGTACAACTCGCAGAAATACTCAGCGATACTACACACCAAAACGTCTAATAAGTTATGTGTATTGCATATTATGATGGATTGAGCGGGTGAGCCAAAGATACAAAAACCCAAAGAGGCGAAGATAATCAAACAGGGAGCAGGGATGGCTGAAGACGGAAAGTTTTAGCATCGATTGAAATTCATTGTCAAAAATAACAAAAGTAGGCGCGTTTTTTTACATATAGTGACGCGTCTAACTTGAAGCTAATGAATGATGTGTCTCTTCAGTTCTTCCAGAGTGTAAAAACCGTACCCCAAGAGAATGGTTCATCAACGATTCTTGTACAGGAAGATGCAAGTGCCAATATGGTGGCATTACTTGTGTTTCACTTTGCTCGCCAATGGTAGTTAAATGCCCGTCGGATATGGAGGAGGAGTCTTACGATTATCCAATGGATGACAGAGGAAAATGCAGCTGTAAGCGCAAGAGATGCGTGCCAAAAGTTGGAGCATGGTAAGGGGCATAAAAAGACGGTCTCGATAAGGTGGTGACTTTAACGGCGAACGGTTAAAATGTTAGACATTTACGGCTGACTGTTAATTTCTTTCTGTTATGGTAAAAGAGAAATTTTTTTCGATTAACTTTCTTTACGACTAATGGTGAAAATTTATCGCTGGCCTCTCAGAATCCCTACTTCATTACAGCCTACTCACTGGCCAGTTAAAGACTCAATCTTAGTCACTTTTGGGCGGATGTTTCGGCAGACTTTGCTCTGGACCCGGGTGTTCTGGATTATTGCGCAACTGGTTAATATTGAAGTGGTGATTGCTAGAATAGAATTTAATGCAAGCCGATTGATATGTGTATTAAAACAACAGAACAAAGTACAGCTACAACTGCGAATCTTTCAATTTTTAATCACTTCTTAATTACCAGAATTTTCCTAAACCCCAAATCCTGAAAATGTGCCATCCCATTTTAATAATTCTATTGAAAATGCGAACAATTATAATTAATCCTGTCGTAAAAATGTGACCCCAGGCCCCATCTAATAACACATCTCCATCCCCCTCCCCTCCCCCTCAGGATTTTAGCTGGACAGTTTTTCGAGAAGCTAATCTGGCCATTTTTCGATTACACAGTTTTGGCATCATTGGCCTAGAAATGGCGACTTTATAAGCTATTAAAAGTTAAGTTAATTTTTTTTTCTGTGGTTTCTTACAGATTTTGTTGCTGACAGCCTGACTGGACTCATCAGATCTTTTGATTACGATTAATATCATAATTAGTTTTTATGACCCTTATCAGACATGGCAATTATCGTTGAGTTTCTTTTGAGATTATGTGAACCTGGCCTCAGGTCAATGGTGTTATTTACTATTATTAAACATCAGACGAGAGCATTCAGTCAATTGCAACAGCGTATGAAGTTGACAAGAAAACCCGGGCAATATCAGCATTAGATATTGGGGTATCATCTTGAGTTCAAAGTCTACCTAGTTACCAACCCCCCTTCATCAGTTTAGTGTTCTCAAACTTTTGCAAACTCAGAGAGAATTAGTAAGTTTGTTTCTTTACCGATTGTTTAAAATATGTATTATAAAACAATTATTGAATTCGGTTTTCACTAAGCAATTATTAGATGAGGTTGAACATTATATCATGAATTATCAAACCTCGTATCTGTGTTATATGTCTCAGCCTTCGGCTTCGACAGCTTAGACCTCGGCATCGATATTTCATGATGTAATGTTCAACCTAACCCTTAGAGTCATCCGTCTTTAAGGTTGCAAGAGGTTAATAAGTTCGCCAGAAACCAGATTACAACGCACGGGAAACAAAAATTTATAGTCCCGAGTTCAGTAGGATGCCAGGAACAAGGTACACTTGAAAACAGAAGCATCCTTCATGCATGAAGTCTCCTTTCTAGCTGGCAGAGCAAGCGTCAGTTTTGGCGGACGAGTGCTCAGTTATCTTAGTGAAAATTGAAACTGCCATCTTCGATTTTTATAACAGCGGAAGGCTGGGGAGAGAAAAAAATTGTACCAAGGGGGTGAGCGATGGTCAAAAAGAGGGAGACCATCTCGACCTCAGAATCTCAACTTTCTATGCCTCTATGTTTAATTCTCCATACTAAATTCTTCATACTCCTCTCGATGCAATTCCTACAATACTGACAAGGAGAATTTGTTTAACAGTCAACTACTTATTTACTAGATTATAAGATACTATAATCTCATGACCTTACTGTGGTATTTAAGGTTTCTGGAGGTGGTTTTTAGGTGGTTTTAGGTGATTGCAGGTGGTTGTAGGTGGTTTTTGGTGGTTGTAGGTCATTCCATGTCTAAGTGTTTCAGAAGGAGAAATTAGATGTCAGCCAATTTCAGGGCCCTCACAACTGCTAGAGGGTAAAGATCGTTTAGCTTTGGCATCATTTGAGCTGTGATATCTGTAAGTTTCCGGTTGAACATAGTTTTGTTTTAATTAATACCTAAACTAGGTATAGTACAAGGTCGGTACTCATTCGATGTGCTCCTTATTCTAATTTTCTCTCAAGTCTGAGAACAATACGAACGTAAGTTGACACGACTGGTCTGGGTACAAGTCTTCTTGAAGGAGTGGACCTTAGACTTTCAACACGTCTCTTCTTCCGTTTGAAAATGAAGATGAAGTTCATATCTGGCACGTCATATCGTCCAAGATCTAAAAAAGCAAAGTGAATAATTAGTAAAAAAAAAAAATAGAGCACACGTTCCAGGGTTCCATGTCTAAAGTCAGTTGAGAGTGCCTGAACGTCTGAGATAATTTGAAACTAACTAAATTTTTCAAAGGCTAACCAAATTGCGCGAACCCCTGAATGAATGGTCAAATTGTGTTAATTTATCCCAAATTTCACGATTATGTGATCACCAGTTAATAAGATACAAGCAAAAAAATGACTCTGTTTTCATTTTAAGTTGTTTTTATTTAGTGTCACAACTCACTGGTTCGGCCGCTTGCCTTTACCTTGATGCCGGAGTCAGTCGGGCTTTTTCCTCAAGAACTTGCTTCAAGCTTTTTAACTCTTTATCTCTATGTTTTCTAGAGGCACAAGAGCCAGACATCAAACTTCATTTCGCATTATCTTATTACGGTGGCGTGTAATAACTTGAAAAAAAAAAAAACCGAGTCTAGCACATTTTTCATTTGTTTCCGAAATCTCATCAGTCTCTGCACCGAATTTCGAAGTTTCGTTTATAGCGAATTGTATTTTGGTCTCGAAGTCTTGCAATTCTTTGAAGTAAGCTTGAGTATCTTTGAGTTATCAAAGTGAAAGTCGAAGACTATTTAAGGTCCTCCTCAGGTCTTCGCTTGCGCATTTCGTCCATAATGGCGTCCAAATAATATAAGAAACTGTATAGAAATTAAATTGTCATTAAAAAAGGCTTTTAACTGAACGCGGCGAAGGAATTTTTCAACGTATTGCTTAACTGAAAATTTGTCGGTTTTTTGTGATATGTGAACAAAATTTAAGCCCTTGCTGAGAACTGATTTTTCTGAATCGGAAAGTAGTAAATTTTCTGGAATAGTAACTACAGTTTTGAGGTTTTCAGGCGATGAGTCGTTAGTGACTTGAGGGCCGATAAGTAGGTCGAGTTTTGGGCCTTAATTTGGTGCAAATGTTTAAAAAGTTTAGAATTGGCATCCTGAATTTTGGCACGAATGGATTGTACTAAAATAGCTGGACAGATTTTGGAAAGTTCAGAGCGGAAATGTAGAATTTGTTCTCTGAGTTTGTTACGTTTTTGGCACATAGCTCTGATTGTGATTCTCATAATATTACGTGAAAAAGAATTTTGGGCGCACTGAATTTGGTGACGATATTGATTCGAATGAGAAAAAGAAGATGTGTGAAAATTGGAGCGAAAACCCTTAGGAATAACTTTGGAATGAAGGCAACGGCCGATGAAATGGATGTGACTACAAAACCTAGTTTTGGCGAAAATGAGAACGGCTAAACGAAATGCTAGATCTTTACTAATAGGGGGGAAAGGAAAAAGGTAACTTACGATTTCCGATGGCTAATTTACGTTTTCAACCCAGTTGTTAACTCTAAATTACCTGTAATACGATACACCGCTGATAATTGTTAGCGGGCTCGAGATGTCCTTGATTTCTGGCTATGATTACATGCTGAAAGGAATATCGATATATCATGAACACAACAATAATATTATAATTAAGGTGCCTACGTCACGAAATTTTGTTTTTTTACATTTTCTGGTTGATAGCTGTATTTCAAATAA